TGTGCAGTGGGGAGTGTGAGGTGTTTTTGGGTGTGTAATCGTGTATGGCAGAGGGTGTGGGGATGGTGGAGTATGCATGGGAGTTCCCCATCTCCACCGCCCTGAGCTGGTCAGCACCTTCCCCCACCCCACAAAAGCCTGGAACCAACACATCTTGCAGTGCCTCCCTACCACCACCAACTGTGCGCAGCCCCAGCCCACCCTGCACCCACTCTGGACTGACCCTGACAGGAGTGAGCCAGCTGGAACCTGTGCCACAGCCCCAACCCCAGCTCGCCCCATGCCTGCTCCACACCGCCTGCCCGTGGCACATCCTGCCACCCCCTGGGTACACAGCAGGGCTGAGGTGGCTCCATGGCTGGACTGCCTTTGTAGGCAGAGCAGGTGGTGGCAGCTTCTTCCATCTGCCACCCATGCCACAGCCCCGACCTGCCCCACCCCACACCTGCTCCAGACTCACCTGCTCGCACTAAAAAGTGGCAGCAGCAGTGCCGGCCAGGCAGAAACTGATGCTCAGCATGGGGGGAAGTGGCCCCTCCCCCTTGCCACTGCCCAGCGCTTCCTGCTACAGCTGCCCAGAGCCTGTGCCTGGGCTGCCCTGCATCTTCTCTCTGCTGCCACTGCTGCCCTATGGGGCAGCCCAGAAGTGGTGGTGATGGCAGCAGAGCCACAGGGCAGCCCAGGCATGGACTCCAGACAGTTGTAGCAGGAAGTGCTGGGCAGAGGTGAGGGGGAAGGGCCACTTTTCCGTGGCCAGTGCTACTGCTGCTGTTTAACATGAGCAAGCGAGTCTGGAGCAGGTACAGGGCAGGCCAGGTCGGGGCCGTGGCATGGGTCTCCACTGGTACTGTGGGGTTGTGGGCAGTGGCAGATGGAAGAAGCTGCTATTGCTTGGTATGCCTAAAAAGGCAGTCCAGCTGTGGAGCTGCCCCAGGGGGCGGCACAATGCACCACTGCTGGACAGTGCTTGCGCCAAGTGGGACGGAGAGGCCAACTGGGGGCTAGATAAAGCCTCTCCGTGGGCCACACCTGGCTCACGGGTCATATTCTGTCCACCCTTCTGCTAAACTGACAGCTCCAGAGACTGAAGTCTTCTGTTCAACAGATCAGGTACCACACAGGCAGCTGCAGCGCAAGCTTTGCTACATTGCCTGAAATACCTCAACATTAATTGGGAAGGGTCATGTTTAAATACTTGGCTCCACTGATGAGACTGCCCATAGCTTTCCAGTTAATACTGTGAATATTGTGAAGCAGCTCTTATTGCTGGAAACAAGGACATCAAGCAGCCTCAGGTGCATTAACAAAAGCGGTAGACCACTAGCAGCCTTGGAGAGAATCCAACCAACACTCTAAAAACTATGATTTCAAATGCAGTGTTTAAAATTACATTTTAATGGACGTTTTTTATAGTTAACGTATCAGATATCATTATATGCCTGCATTGTTCCTAGTCTCACTTTTGAAATGCTTTGAATCAGACACAGGAAACTGAATGGTGTCCTCCATCTCTCTTAGCTACTTGTATACATTTTAGTGTGTATGAAAGTATTATTGGCCTCCATTATAAAGATGGAAACTGAGGCGCAGAGAAGCTAAGGGACTTACACAAAATGATACAAGGAGTCTGTAGCAGGGCAGCAACTAGACCTCAGGTGTCCCATAATTTAGCCCAGTGCCCTAACCACTAGGTTATTCTTCCTCTTTTTTTGGAGACCTACAGTATCTCTCACCCTACCAGCTTCATATCTTTTGCCAATCAAGGCTAACAAGCTGCATTTGTAGATAGACCATTTTCCTCACCCGTATGATCTCTCATTTGATGTTCAGGGATAAGGAGTTCCATCGGTTCTATGAATGAATAGTTCCCACAGTTTTCTTTATATGCTGACTCATGGGGGGGTTTAGGGCTTTTTTTTTTTCTTTTGTGTTCTTCATTTGTGTGTTGAGTATACAATACATGTCCTGTCAATTATATAACATGTATATGAACACATGGAATCAAGCTCAGATGACTATTGTACTTGTTTTCTTTTTTCCCCCACTTTGTTTGCTTGGGTCCCCAGTGCCTCTGAGTGAGACATAGTTGCACAAAGGTTTGAGAAATGAATATATGATATTGCTATTCCTATATTAACAGAAAGAGTCCAGGTGTTTTAAAGCATTTATGAAATTGCCCGATTTACTCTCATACAGAAACCTACTGACAATAAGTTTAAGCTTTGCATCGAGGCTGTAAAAGATTTGATTATATTAACAATGCTAAGAGTCATGAATGTCATAAATCTTAAGAGAAAGGATGCATATGTCACATATAATGCATGAAAAAGTTGTTCTTTTATCATGGATAACTTACCATTGTGTAGATACTCTGCTGATCAGCTATTCCATTATTTGAATAAGTATCTGATGTCTTGTTTTCTTTCAAGAAGGCAGGTGCAGGATGAAGCAGGAAGCCTGCCAAGAAAGATGATAAATTGCTATTCGGTGCTAGGGACAGTGGTTAACATTAATGCAGTGCAGCCAGGAATTAAAGCAGCTAGTATTAGTAAGAAGAAACAAGGAAGAAAATAACTTCTGATCCCAAATATAGGAGCTTTACTTCCTTTTTTTAAAAATTAGCATCATATTTACTACACAAAAAAAGTGTTAAAGTTGTTTGGCTACAGACAAAATCCACTAACTACAAAGAACAAATAACTGATATGCAACAATTCGAGCAACTACCATTCCAATACAAATGTAACCTTATACACTGAAAAAAACTACATTCCAACAAAATTAGACAAAAAAAAATGCAGGGAAAAATGAAGGGCCAGATCGTGAAGCCCCTACTCATGTGGGCAAGTAGTTATTTGCTTAAACAATATGACTAATCTGATTAGTACTGTGATTCTCACCCGGGGTGCTGCAGCACCCTGGGGTGCCTTGAGATGCCACACAGCACTGTTAGGTGTGCAAACACGATTCAAAAGATAAACCCAGAGATTTCAAATAGGATTCCACAGTGTTAAAAACAGCTGGCTGTGGGCTTCCTAAGTTTTTTCCAAAAGAACTACTCTATTATTTTTTCTATAGTCAAAAAGCGAGTGAAAACTAAGAGCTGGCATTTTCCAATGGTCTACCGACAGGTTCTCCGAGTCTAAAAAGATGGAGAACCTTTAGATTAGTAGTTCACAACCTAGCCAAAAAAAGATACGAGTTTCCCTGTGTTGTATACTAGACTTTGCCTTATTAAATTTGGTTTTTCTTAATCTAAAAAAGTACCCCCGCAATGATTTTCAGTATAACAAAAATTGTAAGCCTTCACAGCAAATCCAGCATGTTACTCCAAGTCTTAAACTGGGTATTATAAGAACCACAGACTAATTAAAAAGAGCTTTTAGGCTGATGAGCTGATAACCTTTCAGATCCTCAAAGTTGCAGGACTCGCATTACCTTTTGAAAGATATGCAGTATGGTATCAGCTTTATAAAGGTTATTAACTCATTAAACAAATTAAAATAAAAATCAAGTAACCTTATTATCAAGATGATAATTCTAAACAAAACCTAAGGCAATATACCTGCCAAACTTAAATCAGATCAAGGTCAAATCAACTACCAGCAAGCCAGTTTCAGCACTGAATTGGAATTAAATAATCAAATTAGTTAAATTACCATAGACATATGAAAAATAATCAACCCTTATAAATTCTAAGGACTATTTGAAGAAGGTGGCCCTTTATTATTTTTTTGATCATTCCAAAGCACAGAGAGATTTTACCTAAGCCAATCAACTCTATAACTAAGATCTGGCTAAATGTTTTAAGACAAAAGCCAAATTATAATCTAATGTCTGACCACAACAACAAAGCAAATGACAAAAAGGTCTCAGAATTTTACTTTTAGGTGGCTACCACTTTCCACCCTCCCAACAGAGCTGTAACACAGGCTTTACTAGAACACTCAAATAGTACATTCATACCTCATCAGACACCACTATGGAGCAATGCTGTGAAAACGCTCCACCCACTCACCTCTGCTCCACAAGTGGTGAATGCCAAACAATTGTCACACAGCTGCTGCTTTTTGCTGTGTAACCAGGGCATGCCTAGTGCTGAGCTCAGTCATGGACATACTCATGACAGCAGCGATGTGATTTTATTGGGCCTGTGGTGCATGTGGAACAGAAGTGAATGGACAAGGCATGTTTTCACAGTGGGTTCTCCAGCACCACCCAATGCAACATAAATATGCCCTTAATAAGTAGGGATTTAATAGCTTTATTGACTAGAAATTATAGATAACAGTTTCCAACCTCTCTTGGACTATTAAGGCACACTTTAATAGGGGAGGCAATGTTTAGGGCTACTTAAACCTGGGGAACTTTTTTTGTGCCTCCCTCAAATAGATTTGAAGGGTCCTCATATACAAACACAACCACATGGCACAGTCCTCAGAGCCCTCTGAATATGCAGAGTGTCACAGGGCACTGAAGTGCCCTGCTCCTAGGAAAAGGTACAGGTGCTGGTTGCTGGGGCAACCGCAGTCAGTCAGCTGACCAGAAGGGGGCAGGGCCTGGCCTATATAAACAGCCAGGCTGAGGCCAAGCAGGCAGTTCCCCACTAACATCCATGGGAGAAGGAGCTCTGCTGGAGTAGGCAGTTTGATGGCCTGGATAGCTTTGGCTTGAGGATACTGAGAGGAGAATGCCCTGGTAGGGATCTGACTGATGATTAGCCAGGTGGCATAGAGGTTTACATTTTGCCAGGAAGCTTAGTTTGAGTTGTAGCCAATTGGCTTATGGTTTTGCTTTGGTGTTACACCGGAGGCCTGGGTGAGGCTGTAGGGGTTGGAGGAGGCCTCATAGGAGCTCCCCAGTACTGTGGGGGTTCCTGGCACTGGAGAGGGCACCGTGTTTTGGGGTGTATTGACCCTGGCCCCAGTGGAGCAGTGTTGTGCGGGAAAAGCCCCAGTGTGGGGGCAAGTGAGAAGCCCCAGTGGGGTGTAAGACCCAAAAAGGTGGGTTTGGGGGCCAGGCATGGCTACGGCCGCCTGAGCCGTATAGGAATTGTAGACCCGGAGGGGATTTAGGGGGCCAGGTATGGCTACGGCCACCTGAGCCCCAAGCGTGAGAAGAGCCCAGGGGAGGGTGCACAGGAACAGGAGCCCTGGGGAGGGGATTTGGGGGCCAGGCATGGCTATGGCCACCTGAGCCCTGTTCATGAAGCAGGGCCCCAGTGCGGGCGGGATGGTGAGAGTGCCCCGGTGGGGCACGGTCGCAAGAGAAGCCAGAGAGCGTCCGCAGGGAACGCGGGCATCAGTGAGAAGAGACCAGGGAGCGCTTGTTGGAGCGCAGGCTAAACGGTCGCAAAACAAGCCCGGGAACCCATGAGGGTGCGGGCTATAATGAGGCAAGCAAGGGGGCGCTGGGAGGGCGCGGCAAGAAAGTTTGATAAGACAACGTCCAGTACACCTGAGAAGTTTGGGGCGTGGTATTGGGGGTGGTAGGAGCCACTCATAACCCTTAAGGCTTTAGTGCACGGGGTCAGTGAAGACAGGGCACAGACTGGGGTACCGCGTCCAAGGGATCGAAAAGGCAGCCTCCCATAACACTAATACCATCAAAGACGTGGCAGGTGAGAACGAGGGTGCATTTATACCAACTTGGCACGGTAGGGGGCACTAGGAGAGATCACGGCCACTCCTAGGACCCCACCCCGTGACCCAGAGAATGGGGGACAGGTCTATTCCACCTATTAAGTGCATAAATGGACACAGGCATCTACCTATAATTCTATTCTACCACGTACAAGTACCTGAAAAACAGGTATTGGAAAAGGTGGGTGTGCCTTCCTTACTGCTTTTTTGTGATTCAGTCTTAAAGTAAGGTGTCGGTGGATGCATCTACATGAGATGTTTACTACAGAGCTGCTTACTTAGTTCCGCAGTAAAGACTTGGAGTCTACATGTGCGGCCCTCTTAAGCCACAGTAGAATAATCAATTCTGCCATAGGTTAGGACTTGTAAATAAAAGGACTATCCTACGGTGGAGTTCTTTACTGTGCCACAAGGCATGTGTAGATGCTGACAAGCCTGGCTGGGGTGCAAGGGTGCTTCAGTGTTGGGGCTGCCTGCCGGTTAGCCCTGCACCAGAGCAGTCTTGTTTCCCAGCCACCTCCTCCACAATACGCTGAGCCTAGTCAGAGCAGCCCCAGGCTGGCAGGCTGACCCCCAGGAGCAATAGACATTGGCATAATATGTGCCAGAGTTTATTGCTTTGCATTCATTCTACATGTAGATGCACCCAGTGTGTATTACAAAAGTAGATGCAGTATAGATTTTCAGGATTTGAACAGGGTGGAATAGACTCACACTTACGTTTCTATATCCATGTAGATACCTAATAATCAGAATAGAATTTGGCTGTTGGATTCAAGGAGCCAGGCAGTAATGTTGTGCTAACCCAGCACTTCTCCGTAGTGAGCCTTCTTCCAGTGCATCAAAAACTGGTATAATTTGCTGTTCTGAAAGGCAAGTCTTTCTGGTAGTTTCTTGGCCTTGCTCTTGGCTCTTATGGTTTGCAATCTTTGCTTACTCTGCTTCATATCACCTCTCCCCAGCATCTTCAGACAAATCAGGTGTGAGGCCTGCCTTACAGTCACCATTATGTAGCTTCAATTCTGGGAAAAGTCCTGTTCAAATCAGGAATTCTAAAAATATTCAGTGTTTGGTATACTATGGAGACTGTAAGCTTGTGATCACCCCAAATAACCAAAATCCAAATGCATGAAACAGCTGCTGAGAAGCCTGGTGCAGCCTTATATATGTGAGAAATGACACCAGGTCACCAATTTACAGAAAGTTGGACACAATATAAGAAGTCTTATAGAAAATAGTTGATTGCTAGGAGTCTTTTTCCAGCAACCAGTCTCTCTCAACATTCATCCATCAACAAAATTAGAAATAAATTGAACAACTTATGATCAATGCCATCATTCTTCTTCCAAAAAGGCAATTTACAGTAATCTTTCTATTTTGGAATTGGGCCATAAGTCAAACAGCTTATCTCCAGGAATCCTCTCAATAGAGAAGAGCTACTTTAAACCTATCAAGATGAAACCCATTTAAGAAAAAAATTCAAAGTTTATATAGTGACTGTATTCCCACATATGCAATTTCTCTCTGTCTGTCAAGAGTAATGCAAGCCTTTTAGAATTAAGACTGCAAGAGTGTATCCTTCTTAATCTTCTCTACAATTACTTTAGACCTACTTGCTATGTCATGGAGACAGGAAGTTTAGGGGGTTAAAATTCAGCCAAGATTGAATTGTTGATTTTTCTCTGTTCTTTCTGCCTCTGCCAATTCAAACCTTTAAAAATTATTTAGCACACATAGGTAACTTCCCAACTTTATTAGCAGTGTGCTATGTTTGTGGCCACATCCCAATTTATCTCAACTATAACAAATTTTTGTTTTAGTACTGGTGATTGCCAGAAGTATTTTGCTTTATCACATGCAGTGGATGGCTGGACACCAAAGCTGACAAAAGCCTCAAAATATATTTCATACCAGTGTGATACTCTAAAGCAGTAACCCTTAGGGACAGAATAAAGCTAGGAAGAAATTTAAGACAAGACATGCCTCTGTGTTCGAACTTTAAGTTACTATAATGATACAGGGCATGTATGATGAGTACTGAACATAATATGGAGAAGCTAATTTTAGTGTAGATACAAATTGTAGTTAATGCCCCAGTTCTCCTTTCAGTAACACTCATACAAGTCCATAATATCAACTGGATAAGTATAACTGATGAATCTGCCCATAAATTCCTCAGTTATATATGCAGTATTTCAACATTTTAGGGTTATTGTAAATAATCTCCTATTATAGGTTGATGGATCATGCGTTTCCTTAATGTTATGATGGTCCTTCTATCAATAAAATCATTACTGGCCTGATCCTACAAAGTCTTCCTACCAAGCATGGTTGCTACATGTGGTAACAAGAAAGTGTTTGTAGAACCAGGTCTTTAATGGCTTTCTTAAACGAAGATTAAATTAAAATAACTGATAGAAAGGCAGCCATAATGGTAAGGAACACACATTTTCCATTCTACCTATAACAGGAGATAAGGGTTATAGGCATAAACATGCCAGGTAGGCACACTTAGTAAAAAGGCACTTGACTTGCTATATCTTTCTAACTTGCCATTTTTCAGCCCTTTCTTTTAGACATCTTTAGACTAGACATATGTCCTGGCACAGCAGTTCTGCTTCATTGGGCAAAACACACATCAGCCATTGACCTGCCCATTGATCTTGTGGGCCAATGGGCAATGTGTTCTTTCCTTCCACCCCAGTAATCTCCAGGAAACCTGGAGATTGCCAGGGGTAATCTCTGCAGCCAAAGAACCCCAACTTTCCCCACTTCCAGAGACATGCCCTAGAGATCCCAGGGGCAAATCTCTGGAAGTAGGGAAAACTGGGACACTCCAGTGTGGTACACAGTCCCAGGGTTGTGGCCACTAATCAGCTGATAAAAATGGTCATGGTGACACAAAGATGATGAAAAGCAATGTCTGTTTCTACCCTTAAACCTTCAGTTTAGGTTCCTTAGGGCCATAGCTTGCTCTGCCTCACTACAAATGAACAGGCCCTCTACAAAAAGTGACAGCACAAGCAGGAAAGTGCAAGGGTAAGACATACACCTTCTCAGCACAGCAGTCTCTGATCAGCACACTGTACAGATGAGGTGCCCACCCCCAAACATGGCCCTTACCATTTGTTAATCCATGAGAGTACTATACCTCTCACTTCATTACTATTAAGTAGCCTCTGGCAAGGGACTTTGCCTTAGGGCACATCTATATGTCTATATCTATATCTATATCACATTAGCCTATTTTAATGTGCATTAAGAGGTCACTTTAAAATAATGCCATTTAGTTAATGCATATTAAAATAAGCTAATGTTCATTAACCATCACACGTACAGTGAGGCTGCTCTTAAGCACTGTAATTACAGCGTGTTGGATTAATTGAGTCTGCCGGAACATGGTAATTACCACATTCCAGCAGACTCCAGCATCACGTGTATCAGCATCCTTGCACTGAAAAGTGGTGGCAGGGGGACTTTAACTAAGGTTCATTTGATGAACTTTAGTTAAAGTGCCCCTGCCATCATTTTTCAGCACAGGGTCGCTGATACATAAGACAGTCTTGGAGTTGCTCTAATTAAAGTGCCTCCCCACCCTTCCCAGAGCATGTGTAGAAATGCCCCATACTCTTTAAGACAGGCTAATGTGCATTTTCCAAGTACCTCACAATGGAGGGCATGTATATACATGATCTAGGAGTGGAGCAGGGGAGAGCACTTTAATTAGTGTGGCTCCAAGACCTGCTGTAATTAAAGTGCTCAGAGCATCAATGTATCTGCATCCCCATGCTAAAAAATGGCAGTGGGGGTGCTTTAACTAAAGCTCATTGAATGAGCTTTAGTTAAAACACCTCTGCCTTCATTTTTCAGCACAGGGATGCTGATACATGTAATGCTGAAGTCTGTAATTACCACACTCCAACATGCTCTCTGTGACTACTCTGCTTAAATAGCATAATAGTCACAGGAATCCAAGGATTTTAATCTCAATATTATTTATTGGTGTATTATTTTGCACTTAAGTAAAAATAAATAAGCTTATCAAGAATAACCTAAATCTCCTATATAAATTTTGGTGCCAGAGTGCCAGTTTTTGGTATAACTCCTTCCCTGAAAGTGCTACATCTGCACTGCTTCATCCAGGGGTTCTCTTTACACTAGAGAAACCCACAGGGAGATTCTTAAACCAGCTTCCTAGCTATTTCACATTTCCACAGAATTGGGTGGTACGCATCTCTGAGAAAAATACAAATTATTGTCAAAATCATGGCATGGTTTAAACTAATAACTTGCTCTATCTAATGTTATTACATGAATACCTGAATTTAAATATCTTCTTACCATTGGCATCTAGGGCAGTAAATCCAATAATATTTTTTATCTTAAGTGCTGAAATGTCTTCTATGGCATTGCCCCATTCCTTCATATTATTCTGATTACCAGTGTCTTGATCTGCCTTTTCCCAGTTCTGGTGATCCAACAAGGAAAATCTGACTTCAGTAAGAGATTCATCTTCACTTATACATCCAATACTCAAAGACACTGCTCTTTGGGAAGCTTCTGTTCCAAAACAAGAGAGATGATTCCAGTAAGTTATATTGACTGGGTCTGAAAAGAAGTATGTGACGCACTGGGATAAGGTAAATTCACTTGCAAATAGCAGCCTTATTGGGAAGAAGAAAACATTGGTTAATAGTCAATACAATCAGAATAGAATCACTTCCATTCTAGATTCCTAAAATTGAAACAGAAGAAAATTAAATACTGAAAGCATGAATCTCCATTGCCTTTGCAGCCCATCTGTTCAATTACAACCTCTACAAAGGGTGCAACTACACGTCTCCGTACAGTGACGTTGCTACAATGCCATGATTTAGTACTTCCTTTTGGAAGTACTAAGCATGGTGAAGTAACTGACCATACAGCACCATGCATGCAGCACACAGTTAGATTTTGCTG